CCAAGCAAGCCAGGCAGAGGGAGGGAGTTAGAGTTGGGGGGAGGGCAGACCTGAGAACAGGGGGGTCCCAGAGCAGGGAGAGGAGAGCGTGGGGGAGGGGTCGTGGGGGAGGAGCCGTGCGGGATGGATGCTCCCTGGGGGTGTTGCACCAAGACAGCGGTGGTGGTGGGGGCAACCAGGGGTAGCTGACCTACTCTGGCATCACTGCTGGCCCCTCACACTTGCATCTGCTCAGGTCTGTGGGCCACGGCCCATCTGACACCAGTATCTTGTCCCAGAGAGACAACAACAGCGCCAGCCTCCCCCCGCAGAGCCAGATTTGTACCCAATTCTAAGCTCTCAAGCACGTAAGCTTCATGAAATGATCTTTCTACCTTTGAAATGATGGTGCTGGAGAAGCTGGTTCTAACAACACACGTCTCATCAGGGACGCTTATCATTTCCTCCCATCAAAAACGAAACAAAAGACAGAGACGTCAGTATTCAATAGTCAAGAGTGGCCTGGGTAAGCTGAAAAAGTCAGCCGCTGAAACATGAATATTCACATCAGGACCCAAGGGACAGCATAAAGCTAGGCAGGTTTGCCTTAGGCGGAAAAAAAAAAAAATCATGCTCAGACCTTTAAACCTGACTGCAACCTGACCAGATGTTTCAATCCAAAAAGGAAGGTGAATCAGCCTGGGAGCGTGGTGAAGGCAGACTCAGCAGAGGTGACACTGGCCCTGAGCTCTGAGTAGGGGAGGGGGAGCCTCGGCTGACACCCCAATACTTTCTGGCCCGCTGGCAGGTCCATCCCACCAAGGAGGTGCGTGCTCCAGGCTCACTCAGCTTGATGCTCATCAGCCTTGCCCTCACACACGTGGCTTCTGTATCCTGGCTGAGGATCAGCCCAGGACGATTAAATCAGAATCCTTGAGGGTGGGGCCTGGGCCTCGGCATCTTCAAAAGCTCCCCCAGGTGATTCTGGCTCTGAGCAGCCCTGATCTGACTAGATCCCCCAGCACTGACCCCATTCCCACCACTGCCTATGCTCTCAAGGGTCCACACTGGTCAATTAAATAATGGTGTTCTGATTCTGCACAGTAGACCAGAGCTTGGTCAATGTGAAGGCTTCACTCAGCGTGGTTCTTCTCAATGTGCTGGTGAAAATAAGCCAGCAGGACTGAAGGCTGGCCCCAGAGTGCTGAAGAATCCACCAAGGTGATGAAATAAATGTTGCTTCCAGAAGCCTCCTGGGTGAGGATGGCCACTTTACTGGCCAAGAAAACTCAAGCCCAACTTGATGGCCCCTGTATTTTACACAGGTAAAGTAATAACCTGAGAAACAAAGGATGGACCAGCCAAATGGCCAACAACAAATTCCCTGAGAGTCGAGCTCCAAAGGGTCATGTCTATTGTCTTTCATGTGTCTTTACCTTTACCCTTGATGCCATGGACATAGCTGACTGCCTACCCTATATCCATTCTCCACGTCTTCTTCCTAACAGAAGGGAGGAGTCCCTTAAAGAGCTAAGTCTTGGGGAATGGGCTCCACTTCAGCTTCTGGGGGCACTCACACTTGCTAAAGTCTGATGCCATCCCCTTGCCAGCCTGTGTTCAAGAAAGGACAAGTGGCTCTGATCTAGTCAATGAGACACAGGAGCTGATGTTCTTTAAAGCTTTCTAATGAAGCATAACACACACACAGAAAGTACATGTCATCTGTGCATGCTAAGTCACTTCACGGACTGTAGCCCGCCGGGCTCCTCTCTCCATGGGATTCTCCAGGCAAGATTAATGGAGTGGGTTGCCATTTTCTACTCCAGGGGATCTTCTCGACCTAGGGATCAAACCTGCATCTCTTGCGTCTCCTGCATTGGCAGGCAGATTCTTTACCACTAGCATAACCTGGGATGCCCATTCTAGTATGGAACAAGCCCAATTTATCTGTTTTACTGTTGTGAGTATTTGGCTGCCTTCCAGTTCAGGAGTATTACAAATTGTGCTGCTGTGAACATTTTAGTGTGTGTCCATCGACAGACATGTATATGCATGTCTATAGGGCACATACCCAAGAGGAGACACTGGACCAAAATGTATGTGTATGTTCAATGTTAGTATATACCTCAAACTATTTTCTACGGTGATTGTACCAATTTAGCCCCTATCTGTAGTGCAGGAAAATTCCACGTCCTTGTTAACACATGTCTGTTTTCATTGGTACCATTTGGTGGGGGTATAGGAGAGATCCTATGACTTTTGCTGTGGGCTTCAGTTATTCCTCCTCTGTTAGAGAGCTATAGAAAGCCAGCCAGTTCTCCATATGAATATGAATGAGAAGCAACAGCCCAGAGGATTATTAGTGGCCAAGTACAGTCAGTTGCTACCATGTAAAAAAAGAAAGGACTTGGTAGACATCACTAAGCTAGGCTCAACAAGTCAGTCCTTTGCCTTATCATTTAGGCTGGTTGCTTTGGTTTTTCTGGTATTTGTACTGGAAAGTGTCTTTAGTGTTAGCTTCATAAAGCACTTGAGTCTCATAACATCCCTGCTTCATTTTCCTGATGTGAAAACCAATCACCAGTGAAACTCAATCATTCCCCAAAGGCCAGGGGAATTAGCAAAGCATTAGGATTTCAGATGCCCAGCTTCCTGTTTTTTTCACCCACGCTATGCGGCGCCCCCTTTTCTAGTTCAGCTGTCATCGCTCATTTTGTGAAAATGACTGTGAGTCCTTGGATGACGCAACTGCTCTTTTACAGTGATACCAAATTACATAGCTAAGATGCAAACAGCTATGCCGCCTAACAGAGGGGCCAACCATCTTCTGAAAACAGCATTAGCAAGCTCTCTCCTTTCTACACTCTGTTATGGGGAGACTATCGTCTATATGAGGCAAATCCCTGGTCCTCCAGGGAAAAATAGACTGGTGATTTTTAGTCATAAATCTCTAATGAGGAAATGAAGATGGTGAGAAGAACAGGAGCAAAAATTATAGTAGCAAGTTCATCTTCCAGCTAGACAGACACAGGAGCTGTAACTACCAGCTTCCCAACTTAGAAACCCAAGAGTATTTCACCTAGTTTTGTAAAGGTGTAATTCATAAACATAAGAATTCAATGGAGCAGGGGAAGTCAGGTCAGTGACCTAAACATCTCCTTACTAGAAAACAGCCTTTGTGATTCAGCCTGACCGATTTGCCAACACACAAGATTATAAAGATTTGGCAGTAAATGTCTTCTCAGGCCAGGGTAAGGGGGCAGAATTCATCAGTGTCTCCTTCCATCTAGAGTGAATTCATGGTCTTCAAGATCCAACTCAATCAGTGAAGTTACTCTGGGAGCAAAGATTCCTGTCTTGTACAGGATAGGCAACCAAACTCCTCATGTCACTTAAATCCTCTGATGGTGTCACTCTGGAATTCTAAAGAATCCCTTATTCCATAGTCTTGCCTTCAGGGTACTATGACGGGGCCATGAGTACCACTCTATTTTGCTCCAAACATGTTGGTCTGTTCCTTGAACATATCATGTTATTATGGCTTCAGTGGCTTTGCACTTACTCTTCCTCTTCTGGAACCTTCCTCCCCAGATTATTTTCTAGTGGGCAGAACTCATTCTTACCTTCTCGAACATCACCTTCTCAAAAGGCCTTCCTTGACCACCTTCTCTGAGTAGGTCCCCATCACTCTATCATGCCACCTGGTTTATTATCTTCCTAGCACTCACTGAAGCCTGCAAACACTTGTTAATTATCTATAAGCTCCATGACATCAGGGACCCACACGGTCAGATCTCCTAAATTGTGAGGTTCTTCTAAAGGCTACACCATATGATCCTGAGATTACATTTTTTTAAAATGGGCTTTTCTACTCAGTCATTTTATGACAAATATATTAGTCAGCAGTATAGTGCCAACTAGGGGAAACCATTAGGCTTTTGAAAAAAATCTGATGATGAATGTGATACATGTTCTCCAGAGTGCCTGTGAACACACACATATGACCTTTAGCCAGAGTGGACTGTACAGAAATGAGTACCACCGCTTCAAAGAGAGCTGTGCAACATACCTGCCATCCTCAAGCACAGTCAGTGAATTGTCACCAGAACGCTCACCTGAAACAAGACTTTTGGTTCAAGCTTCCCATTTTACAGACGAGAAAGCTTGAAGTGCAGTTAGCAATTAGTTTCTCAGGGTCAGGGAGATAGGTTAATAACAAAATCAATCTAGGCTCCAGACTCCTGAAGGGTCCTTTCATTTCGAGAGCAACACACCAGGTAAGTGCAGCCACCGTAAGTGGATAAAGGCAAAGCTCAAGGAGAAAGCTGCGGGTGCCCTGCTCGGAAGGCAAGAGACTGCGGGTGCTCACAGCTCTCACGCCGGCTAGAGGAGAGGGAGACGAAGGGAGACGGAGAGGAACAAAGACCAGCCCAAACCCACCGCTCCCTGGGGTGCTGAGCACCGCTTCCCCCTGCATCTTCCCCTCGGTGCCTCCCAGCCCTGAGGCCCTTTGCCCGCAACCGTCCGCAGCAGCCTGGCCTTGGGGATTTCCACCAAAGCCCCTGGGGCCTGAGTTCCTCGGAGAGGCCAAGGCCCTCCCTGCAGCCCTCGAGGGCGAGAGATGTCTTCGCAGACCAGGTCTGGGCAAGGCCTGAGCGAAGGCCGCGGAGGGTGGAGGGGTGGGGGTGGGGATGGGGTGACAGGAAGGGCAGGGGAGAGGGAGGAACTCAGCGGGGACCAAAGCCCTCTGGGTCCGTTTCTCAGGACTTGAGGGTCTCGGCTCAAGAACGGGAAAAAAGATCTCCACTTCAGCTCCCTGGAGCTGCCCTTGACCCCCAGCACGCGAACGCCGCAGCCCAGCCCGCCGGCCTGCCGCCCTTTCTCGGCGCGGGGGTTGGCGGGCGGAGAGGGCGGGTCCCCGCCGGGCCCCGGAGCTCAGCTCGGCTCCGGGACAGGGGTCAGCCGGGGCGGGGCTGCCCCACGCCCGGGTCCTCCGCCTCCGCCCCTCCGCGCGCCCCTACCGGTAGTAGCGGTCATCTCGGAAAGGCGTGAGGTCCTCCTTGAGCTCGCGGTAAGCCTCCTGGAGCCGCTTGCACAGGTGCTTGAGCTCGCTGCAGAGCGGGGGCTCGAAGGCAGGGTACTCGGCGTCCATGCCCGCGCCGCCCGCCCGCGCCTGGCGCCGCCGCCGTCCGCGCGAGCCCCGGCGTCCCCTCCTCCCAGCCGCTCCGCCCTTTGTATCGCTTCCTTCGCCCCCTCGCTCTTCCCAGCTCCGGGGACCGGGGGCGGGGGTGGCCAGCTGGGCGGGACCGAGGAACAGGAGAAGCAGGTGGCGGGGAAGGTGGGGAGGGGGCGCGCAGCAAGGTGGGGCCCGGCGCGCTCAGGGCGCCAGCGCTACGGCCTGGGGAGCCGGCCCCAGGGAGGATGGGGATGGGGGTCCCCGCCCCGCCGCCCCGCCCCGCCGAGGGGGGCCTAAGGAGCAGAGGGTGCCGCGCCCATCGGCCGCCGCCCAGGGAGGAGGAGAGGGAGCGGACGGAGGCGGGGGGTGGGGGAGTCCAACACAAGATCATCTGCCACCCAGGACGAAAATAGAAAGAGCCCCCTGGCTGCCGCTCGTGTGGGGAAAGCGAATACGCTGGGGGTGAAAACTGAAAGGAAACTGGGGCTTGGGGATGGGACCCAGAGCCCCCTTGCTGAAGGTCAAAGGCTGGAGCCGGGTATCAGTTCAGCACCACGGACAGCTCCCGAAAAGCCCTTTTTCCGCCCCACCCCCCACCCCCCTTTCCTGGGTTCCACTTGACCTGATGTAAAATCATTTTTTTTTTAAACATTTTAAACGAAACCCATCACGGTTATGTCATAATAAATATTAATGATGAAGAAACGTGGCCAAATGAGATGCCTCTTACACACGTTCTATAGCCACCAAAAAAATAAAAAATAAAAAATCAAGTCTCTGCAAAGGTGTTTTTCTCATCCTCTGCAAAGCTTCACACTGCTGAGTAAAATAAAACTCACATATCAACACACCCTCCATGGGACTACTTATCCAAAGACGGTGTCATCTCCTTTTGTGAATTTTCCCATATAACGAGTGGAGAAACAGTTGTTCCAGATGATGTCAGTGTGCTTCCAGCTTAATTCAGGACAGGTTTCCATGTGAGGTTGATTGTGCAAGCAGGGGAGAAGCCTTTTATAAATATACACTTTGGGGCCCAACTCAACACTATTGAATCTAAATTACAGAATATGGTTCTCAGGAACCTATATTTTTTCAAAGCTCTGGTGAGTCTAATGATCACTCATGTTTAGATATTCTCAGAGTTCCTGTATTTCCCGATACTTGTTGTGCTCTAATTTCACCCACTAATTTCTTCTTACTCTTTATTTTTTATCATACTGTTTTATTTCCTGCCTCCCCTTATGTTTGGGAACACCTTGTCTGTGTTCTAGCCAAGCTGTCCCCTCAGGTCTTGCAAGTATTCCCATAACTTCTGAATGTCCTGCACTGTGCACAGTTAGGTTTTAGCCACAACTCAGCAATGTGAGCATGGCGTATAACCATCTCAAGAGGGCAAAGAATGGAGCTCAGAACTAACTCGATACACCTAAAATACAGTGCAGAAAGACACACACTGTCTGTACTGTGATAAAGATTATGAGACCAGCATATGCCCTATTTCAATTATTTTATGACTGGCTATAGAAAGCTTATCATTAAGGGAAATATTAATTAACCTCGGAGATACCCCCAGAACACTTAAAATTTCTCCAGGACTTCAGCCTACACTCTCCTCCACTTTGAACTACGGCAGCCCCTAAAAGGACAATGCAAGTCTCCTGGCTCCAGCACCGTGGGGGTAACTAAGGTGCTATGTTACCTCTTTTATCACAAAGAGCTGGAAATGCTAGATAAAATGTCACATGTACACAGGTGCTGGTACATATATAACAACTCTGTGAATATCACACATTTGAGCCACACAGTATACTGTAATTACTACCAGCTGTGAACTGGCTGCCTTATGCCTTGTGCAGAGCTGTTGTCTATGCCATCTCTTCACCATCAACCAGGAAATTCCCTCCCTCTGTTCTTTGGATCCCATGCCTCTATCTTTAATGGTAGCACATATTCTCCAGCTGGAGGAGCCAGTTCCAGGATGGCTCACTCACACTGCTGGAGATTTGATTCTGGGAACTCAGCTGAGCTGCTGGCGAACAGCCTCTCTCAGAAAGGCCTCTCCATGAAGCTGCTTGGGCTCCCTCAGAGCGTGGTAGTAGGTTCTCTGGAAGAGATAGCATAAGCTGACATGCCTTTTAAAAGCCAGTGCCTAGAAGTCTCAGGACAGCACTTTCTTTGTGGAGCAGTATAGACCCAGTCAGGCAGCAGTTTTGTGGCTTTGGTTTCTTTGTTTTTGCTATATAGCATGCCATTGTGTGTATACATATAGCACAATTTATCCATTCTACTCTTGTCAGTTTTTGGTTATTCTGATTATGAACTTTCTTGTGTATTTTGGGGGAAGGGCATAAGCACTGATTTTACTAGGGTTTATACCTAGTGAAATCACTGGGTTATAGATTAGGCATATATTTGGCTTTAGTAGAGTCAAACGGTTTTCCAAAGTGATTGTGAAATTTTAATTCCCACCAACAATGTACAAGAATTCCAGTTGTGCCATATCCTTACTACTCTTGATTTCATCAAGATTTTTATTTATTTATTTATTTATTTATTTATTTATTAGTAGTGTGGCATATGGAATCTTAGTTTCCCCATCAGGGATTGAACCCGTGACCCTGTACTGGAAGTGCAGATTCTTAACTACTGGACCGCCAGGGGAGTCCCCTTGAGGTTTTTACTTGCAGTCATTCTAGTGGTCTGTAGTGATCCATCCTGATTTTTGCCCCATCTTCACTCTCACTTCTAAAGAAAGTGACTGCTGCTAGTTCCCAAAATGCTTGAGGAATTTATGGTGCAGAGTGGGTTGTTTTTTAGCTTTCCTCACTACAGGCAAAGCATCTAAGCTTTGCATATCTGCTCATTTGCTTTATGTTTTGCAAAATTTTGTTATTATCATCTCCTCTCCCATTTGCCCTGTTCTTGAGGGTGTATGAATTATTTTGTTTTTTTAAATCCCTTTACTGTTGTTTTAGTGGAGCTTTGAGGGGGGTTTGTGGAGTTTCAGCAACAGTAATGAATGTTTAGTACCTTCATTTTAGCCATGTCTTACTAACAATGCTGGGGCTTCCCTGGTGGCTTAGACGGTAAAGTATCTGCCTGTCAATGCAGGAGATGCAGGTTCGATCCCTGGGTTGGGAAGATGCCCTGAAGAAGGAAATGGCAAACCACTCCAATATTCTTGCCTGAAGAATCCCATGGACGGAGGAGCCTGGGAGGCTACAGTCCATGGGGTTGCAAAGAGTAGGACATGACTGAGTGGCTAATACACACACAGCACTGACAATGTTAATGGGCTTGCCTGGGGGCTCAGACAGTAAAGAATCTGCCTGCAATGCAGGCAACCCGGGTTCGATCCTTGGGTTGTGAAGATCCCCTGGAGAAGGGAATGGCAACCAACTCCAGTATTCTTACCTGGAGAATTCCATGGACAGAGGAGCCTGGGAGGGGCTACAGTCCATGGGGTCACAGAGAGACAGGACTGAGTAACTAACACTAATAACAGTTACATGGGTGTGCAGTTCAAATAGGTACTTAATACATGTTTGTTGAATGTCCTCAATTTATGCCTTGTACACTTTCACTTGTCAAAAGGACCATTATCTTATTCTGATGGTCTTATGAAACTGCAAGAGGGCAAACATATGCATTCAATTGTGGCTAAGAGCACAGATGCTAACAAGAAAGATGAGTGACACCACCACTTTTTAACAATGAGTTTGTGCTGAATACTCCCTCAGTTTTGGCCCCTTTGCAGTCATGAGTTAGTGGGTAGGATTATGTAGAGCACTTAGTACAATGCCTGGCCCACAGTGAATGTTCATTAATGGGTTAACTACCTTGGATCATTTACATATTTCCTATCCCCAAAAGCACTGATATCCATGCTTTCTTATTATAGAAACGTAAATAACATACATAAGTTTAGGCAAGAGAATGAAAATCATCCATCCATCCATCGCTGATAATCACTAAACATTTAAAAAAAACTTTTCTTCTAGTATGTATAATACTTTAAACTACTGTCCCAAACCCTTCAGTGATTGGCTGGGATCTCTTCATAATCTAGAGAACTGGAAAGGCACTAACTAGTTTACAGAAAACTTTTCCTGTCAACATTGATAGCCAGCAGCTCACTTCTAGTGTGACAAAATCATCTTCTCTAAGACCAAGACGTTATCAGTTTTTCTTTGATCTCTGGGTTATTTAGAATGCATCTCAAATTTTAAAATATTTAGGCAATTTTGTCTTTTCATTGATTTATACATTAAATGCATTGTTTTCCAAAAATATAGTCTATTTGATATAGATTACTTGAACTTTGTTGATGCTTGCTCTATGGTCTCCTACATGATCAATTTTTATAAATGTTCTACTCTTGTCTCAAAAGGTTTTGTGATGCTATAGTTGTTGGGTGCCAAGTTTTATTTATATCCATGAAATTAGGCTTTTGAGCCTTGAAGTGAAGTGAAGTCGCTCAGTTGTGTCCTACTCATAGTGACCCCATGGACTGCAACCTACCAGGCTCCTCCGTCCATGGGATTTTCCAGGCAAGAGTACTGGAGTGGGTTGCCATTTCCTTCTCCAGGGGATCTTCCCGACCCAGGGATAGAACCCAGGTCTCCCACATTGCAGACAGACGCTTTACCATCTGAGCCACAAAGGAAGCTTTGAGCCTTAGATCCATCTATAACCAAAGGAACTATGTTGCATGCTCTCATCACAATGGTGGACTTGTCAATGAATCCCAGTAGTTCTATCAGTTGTGACTTTATATATTCAGAGACTATTTAAACACTTTCATTATGGAAATTTTCACACATACCCAGAAACAGTCTAGTCTACTGAATTCCCTGTAGATAATGTGCTCACTCCCTGTCCACATTATCTACCGTCTCGCGACCAGTTTCAGTTCCCAGTGTCATCTGATTTCTCTACCATTTTTGCTTTGGGGACGTATTAAAGCAAATTCC